CCTGGGTTTCTAGCAGCCTACCACCTCACTCTGCTGGACAGAATCCCCACTAATTTTCACAGCCAGATGTTATGTAGGCTCTTCTTCCCGGCACTTGTGCGCTAGGCTGGAGAGCCAGGCATAGGGTTAAGAGCTCTCACTCCTCAGGGGGAACTTACGCAGCTGAGATAGCCCTTCATATTCTCAACTGCACATGAGTTCAGAGTCAGCCCATTTTGAATCTCTACCTTTCCTAAAAGTCTCAGTACGGTTTCTTATGTAGATCTGTAGTTATAAGACTTCTGTTCAGCTAGTCTTCAGTTGGTTATTCAGGTTTATTGTTCTATAATTTAGTTATAATTTTGATTTGGTCCTGGGAGGAGGTAAGTGTAACTTCTACCTACTTTGCTGCCATCTTGGATCTCTCACTTCAAATATTTTATTTTAGTTGTTAGTCTAATTTATTTGATATTTTTCAAGAAAGGAGAGGCTATGTGTCAGGCTCTGGACTGTGTACATTATATGTATTATAGAATTCAATCTTTAGCACATCCTTATTTGTAAATACTATTATTAATAGGTTTCCCCCCTGATGAGGTAACATATTACAAAAGGTGAAATAATTTGTCCAATGTTATTGAATTAAAAAGTGGTAGAGCCCTAGCTGGTTTGGCTCAGTGGATAGAGTGTTGGCCTGAGGACTGAAGAATCCTAAGTTCGATTCTGGTCAAGGGCATGTACCTTGGTTGCGGGCACATCTCTAGTGGGGGTGTGTGCAGGAGGCAGCTGATTGATGTTTCTCTCTCATCAATGTTTCTAACTCTCTATCCTTCTCCCTTCCTCTCTATAAAAAATCAATAAAAATATATTTAAAAAATAAAAAAAAATTAAAAAAAGAAAGGAGAACAGAATGGGATTCATATTTAGTACTTAATATACTAGCATGCAATAATTTTGAAAGGCAGTTTATATTGGAATAGTTTTGTCCTTCACACTTCTAAGTAATTCAGAAAAAAACAAACAAGAAATTTAAGAATAAACCTAATAATCAGTCACTACTGAAAATACCATTTCTTTTTATAGCAAACCAAACATATAGAGAGAGAGTCTACTTTTTCTAGAATTAAAATTTTAGAACAAAAAACTTCAGGTTATACAATGAAAACACTGGAAAATATGCAGTGAAAAAATAAATATATCAACAACTCACAAACTTTATCAGAGTTTCTAGCCCAGTATAACAAAGTAGTGGATTTAAAGGAACCCAGATGAATATGACTAAACTACTATTTGAATCATTATCACAAAGATTCAGGTTGTCCAACTAATAATCAGAAAGAGTTATAAATACCCCTAAATGAAATTCAGATGATTAAATCCTTATTCAGTGATATTTTTAAAACATATAATGTTTTCCTCTATATCCATTCCCCCAAAATATAATACATTCACTTCTTTCTCTTACATCTCAGCAGAAATTAAAATGGCAAAATCTTTGAGAAAAGGGACTTGTAGTACATTTATTTTATTTATCTTACAGTGACTGGCACTGTATACAATACTCATTGTAAGTGTTCAATAAATGTCACCTCCCACAACTAAAATACAGAATAACCATCATTTAGAACTGTCTGAAAGCTGGCTGAATGGAAGTCCTACAACTAGAGAAGTAAAGTAAAAAGCACATTGAGCCTGATAGGAGAGGTGGAGGGGCAGAACAAGCTGGTCTGACACCCACATGTGCCATTTTTTTTTTAATCAGGAGGGAGATCACCTCTGTGGAGGCTTCCCATGTGGAACAAGAGGTCCCAGCCCCACACCAGACCCCTAGCCCATTGTCCCAGAGCTGGGAAGGAAGTTCCAGCAACTATGGCTATAAAAAACAGCAGGTATTGTGGCTGAGAGGCACAGAGGCTGATGGAGACCCAGATGTTCCATTTAAAGGTCGGCACACAAACTTACTCGGACTCCCAGCACTGGGCAGCTTTGGGGGGACCCAGGGACATACAGGGAGGAACTGGATTGTCTAGCATCGGGGCAGGAACTTGGGGGTGACTTACTCCCAGACAGGGATGCTCAAAAAGTCATTGTTCCTGAGCTAGGACCTCCGTTGTTGCAGGGATGACTAGCAGCCATATCTGAGTCTCCATCAGCCTGGAGCAACACTTTGCTCCTTCCTGGGGATTTCCTGAGACCCTGCCCTATCCAATTTTCAGCCCTACCCAAGCTGTTTGCAGCAATAGTTCCATATGAATGGCCTATCCTGGCTCAGGCTTCAGACTTTGTTAAAATCTCTCAAACAAGCTGCAGCTAGTGACAGTGTGCCCCAAATCTGTCAATAAAAGGCCCAAAACCAGGCACTAGCATCAACCTCCCTTGCTTCACAGCTGGGCCTCACATGGGCAACTCCAAGCCCAATCCAAAGAACAAATAGCAGCTATCTGCAGATCTCTCTGTAGCTCCTACCAGGTGGCCCCAGGCAGTGGCTTACTTTGCACCTCCCTGGAGGCCCTAGAGCCAGTGCACCCAGTGGAAAGCTTCAGACCACTGCCGATTACAACTCTACACATCCATAAGCAATACATTCAACGGACAGACTCAGTGAGCACCAAAGCCCCACTGAAGCAAGTCCTGCTCCATAGGGGTGTTCCCTTCACAGCAGCTCTCCAACTGTAGTCGCAGCTGTTCCTCACAGCCAATTGGCTTGGAGGTCAACTCCTCCCAGTGATGCCAAAAACAATCAAAGCTCAACTACAAGATTGTGCACACAGCCCATACAGGGGCATACCTAGAATGCCCAGTGCAGGTGACTAGGGAGGCTGAGCCACTGGGCCCCACAGGACTGCTACACAAGGCTACTCTACCAATTCCAGGAGACATAGCAGCTCTACCTAATACACAGAAAGAAACATAGGAAAGCAGCCAAATCCGGAGTCAAAGAAACATGTCACAAATGAAAGAAATGGAAGCAAGCAAACTACTTGATACAGAGTTCAAAACCATGATTATAAGGTTACTCAAAGATCTTCATGAAAATTTCAAGTAACTTAGTGAAAATGTCAAAGACATGAAAAAGGATTAGTCAAAAATTAAGCATACACCAACTGAAATAAAAAATAATTTACAAGGATTCAACAGCAGAGTAGAGGATTTCAAGAATCAAATCAACAATTTGGAATATGAGGAAGCAAAAAATACCCAATCAGAAGAGCAAAAAGAAAAATAAATAAATATGAAGACAGTGTAAGGAGCCTCTGGGATAACTTCAAGTTTACCAACATTCACATTAAAGGGGTGCCAGAAGGATAAGAGAGAGAGCAAAATACTGAAAACCTATTTGAAGAAATAATCACAGAAAACTTCCCCTACCTGATGGAAGAAATAGACTTACAAGTCCAGGAAGCACAGAGAGTCCCAAACAAGAGGAACCCAAAGAGGCCCATACCAACACACATCATAATTAAGATGCCAAGGGTTAAAGACAAAGAGAGAATCTTAAAAGCAGCAAGAAAAAAGCAGTTGGTTACCTAAAAGGGAGCACCCACACGACTGTCAGCTGATTTCTCAACAGAAACTTTGAAGGCCAGAAGGGAGTGGTAAGAACTATTCAAAGTGATGAATAGTAAGGACCTACAATCAAGATTACTCTACCCAGCAAAGCTCTCATTCAGCATTCAGGGTCAGATAAAGAGCTTTACAAACAAAACAAAAAAACTAAATGAGTTCAAAACTACCATACCAGTATTACATGAAATGTTTGTGGACAAAAAAGGGGCCACATGCTAACCTGACAAGCTCAGGGAAGGCCTGCAGGGCAGTATTGCAAACTCAAAGACCTAAAGTAACAACATAGGTTCGTCTGAAATTAAAACTTTAACTAAAAGCAGTTATGGTGGGTAGACAGCAGGGTTTGGTGAAGGCCTGGGACAAGGCAGGAACCAGGTGGAAGGGGGTAATGGGGGCGGGGAGTGGGACATCTGTGATACTCTCAACAATAAAGATTTAAAAATAATAATAATAAAAGCAGCTCAGGGCTTGTCACTCTCTTCCTTCAATGGCTCCCCAGTGCCTTTTCTTCTTTGTCTGAATTACTTATACTAATGCTTCAAAGCCCAACTTGGCTATTCCCTTCCATGACTCCCTTAGTCTTGGTGGCACCTCTCCTGCTATGTTTTCACTACGCCCAGAGTTTATTTACCACAGAAATTATAATGTATTGTAATTGTCTGTTCAGTTGCCTGCTTCCCATCTAGATCAGTGGTTCTCAAACTTTTTGGTCTCAGGATCTTTATATACCCTTAAAAATTATTTAACTCCAAAGATCTCTTGTGTGTTTGTGGAGTACAGCTATCAATATTTATCATCAGAAATTAAAACTGAGAATTTTTAAAAGTATTAATTCACTTTAAAGTGACAATGAATCCATTATTTGTTAATGTAAATAACATATTATTATGAAAAATAACAATGATTTTCCAAATAAAAAATATTAGAAGAATACATTTTTGCAAATCTCTTTAATGTGCGACTCCATAGAGAATAGCTAGATTCTCACACCTGCTTCTGCTTTCCATCTATTTATTATATCTTACATGTCTTATAGCCTCTGAAAAACTTTACTGTACACTTGTAAGAGAATGAAAGTGAAAAAGGTAAATAATGTCTTAATATTATTATAAAAATAGTTTAGTCTTTGTAGCCCTTTTAAAAGGATCTGAAAGAGCCCTGGGACCCCAGACCACTTCTCTAGAACCTTTGCTCTAAGTAATAAATTATTTAAAGGCCATGGCATTCCTTTTCTTTTTACCCTCACAACCTAAAATGGTGCACATTTCATAACAAGTATACAGTAAGTGCTTTTTGAATGCATGAACAAATGAATAAATAAGTGGATGAACAGATGATTATAAATAAATGCAGGCTGCCTTTGAGTCCATTCACAGAGAATTTCCAAAGTATTGATGTACACAAAGCTCAAAAAGGAAATATAAGTTTTGAGACAGTAATTAAACATCAATTACCATCCATCTGAATGAGTAGCTCAGACTTGACTCTGCGACTTGCTTCGTGCTCATCAGAGGTCCCTCTTCGACTGCAGATAGAATCTATCTCATCAATGAAGATCGTAGTGGGGGCGTAAAATCTAGCCTTTGTGAAAATATGTTAAAGGAATCATTTGATTATCTCATAAAACAATCTGAATATTTAAAAATAGTGCCATTTCCTCCTAATATCATGGTTAAAAAAGAGAAGTTTCTCACTGCTTTAATGCCACCATTTGGTTATTGACAGAGGTTAAATCAATCATTCATATAAAAAAAGTAAATTTCTAAAAATAAAAGGTAAGTTATATGGTTGGCTAAGTCCGGTGACAAATAAATGGGGATTTATAGTCCTATTCTTTCTACTATTCTGTTTGAAACTTTCCATAATACAAAACATTTTCAAAAGACAAGTCATCAATCTCTTTCCTCAAATAAGCATTCTTAAGTAACTATTGCAAACCCCTTATGAAAAGAAACCAACTTTAATGATAGATCAATATCTAACTCATTTTTAAAATATATATTAAAATACACTTCTGCTCAACCATCTCATTAGAGATCCAGAAATGTCAGTCACACCACACACATTTCCAAAGTCTCTTCTACTCTCGCTGGATAGGATGCCAAAGAGCCTTCTTTTATCTTAGGGAGGAAGATACATCAAAGACACACTGACAATTCCAGAAACCCCACCACACCCTATCTTATTAGTCTGCCAAGAACTACTAATTAAACTACAGCGACACCTGCCATAGATGAGTGGATCTAGACTTATAGGGATACCATTGCTTATACCAAAAGTACTTTGAAATCCAAATATATTATCACTCACCATTTCAAACAACAGACGGACTAATTTCTCAGATTCACCTCTATATTTGGATGTCAGTGTAGAGGAGGAAACATTGAAGAATGTTGTGCCACATTCAGTGGCAACAGCTTTAGCTAGCATGGTCTTACCAGTGCCTGGGGGTCCAACCATCAGCACACCCTGAAATTTTGAAAGATGTAAATGATTTATCAGATTAAAATACTTTCTTATAAAATATCAACTATTAAGTAGAGGGAAATTTTCCCATATCATTTTATAGATAGAAAAAAATGAAGAAGATTTCACAAAATGTCTCAAATCAGAGATACTCAGAGATGGGTTAACAAAGGGCCTAGACAACAAGGAATGTTCTTATACATTCAGAAAGAACCTACCCAACTTTCCTAAGCCTGGCAGAAGATAAATATGCCTTAAATACCACTTAAAAATAGTTTGAAATACCACTCAAGAGTAACTGCTCTGTGTAAGCAAAAAAAATAAGAAGCGTATCTTCCACAACACATTATAATATACAGCTTTTAATCAAAAAGAAGAATCCATTCTCAATTAATACAGTAACTAAAATCTAGTAGTAATTCAAACATAAATTAGCTAACGTTTTATCAGTTTAATGTGCTAGATAATAGTTTACAAAAAATAGTTACTAATAAAAAGAGCTACTAAATATGGACCAGAAGTGAAACTGTAGTTATTCCTCACTTTGGAAAATAAATAAGCAGAAAGGCATTCTATAAAAATAAATCAATGAGGAGTAAAGATTATTTGAGAACACTAATTCTCTAGTCTTGAAGACTAATAGATTCTTAACACTTACTTCACTATCCATTTTTAATGGAAGCTCAGATCATAGTTAACACCACGTTTCTTTTGCATAATAGTTGGTGATCTCAAAAGGAATTCTGATCTATTTGTTAATTTAGTTTAATAAGCTAGGGATATCAACTTTGAAAGCTATATGCTCATCAAAGTTTCATAACTACATTCAGAAACTAGCTGTAGAATCTTGATACCCAGAACAACCAGGGATCACCAGGATTTAAAACACTAGTTTTTAAAAAAAAACTTTGTGCTTTGCAAGGAGCCTTTAACTGTGCATGAGACTGGTATTTTGAAAACTACCAAAACAACTAAAGGTATAGGCATAGCGATAGCCAAGTTCATACTTCTCTTTCTAATGGCCCCTCCCTTTTCTAACATTAGATGTGGTGCAATATTTATACTTCTGAACTCATCATGACATTACTCTTCTGATTACCTCATCTATTTCCTGTATTTCCTTCTCTATTGGCTCTTTCCCCTTAGTACAGCGGTTCTCAACCTGTGGGTCGCGACCCCTTTGGCGGTCGAATGACCCTTTCACAGGGTTCACCTAAGACCATCCTGCATATCAGATATTTACATTATGATTCATAACAGTAGCAACATTACAGTTATGAAGTAGCAACAAAAATAATTTTATGGTTGGGTCACAACATGAGGAACTGTATTTAAAGGGCCAGACGGTTGAGAACCACTGCCTTAGTATATAAACATATTTAAATCTGTCCCATTTTTAAATAATCCTTTGCTTAACTCTTCAAATCCTCTAGCTACTGTATACCTCTCCTTCCCTCTCAGCTAGCCTTCTTAAAGAAATGGCTTAAGCTTACTATTGCTTCTTCATGAGCTACTATCTGGCTTCTGCCTCCACTACTTCACTAAAAATACCTATTTACTAATCCACCAGTCACTTTTCAACTCACATGTTCTTTCTCTCTGACCTCGATGTTGCTGATACTTGGTATTCATTCCCCCCTTCCTGAAACCCATCTTTTCTGGGTTGGTTCTAGGACACTGCTCATTCCTGATACTTCTTCATCATGACTATTTTCAGTGTGTTCAGATCTCCTCTTCGCCCTGCACTTTACATTCCTAAAGCAATTCTAAATCTTTTGTGTTCTTTTATAAACTCCTTGAACAATTTCAACCACATGCATATTTTAAATGACCATTTATATCTTACAATTTTAACTCACTCTATTTTAAGCTCCAGACCTCTATTTCTAATTACCTGCTGAGCATTTACTTAGACATATTTTGTTCCTGTTTAAATCTGTTCCTTTTCTCATTTTCCAATATCAGTTCATTGTACCCTATCTATCTAATAATAGGATAATATGCAAACTGGTCAGGACTCTGTCACATAATGACCAAACAGCAGGGCCCTGAGGCTGCATGGCACCTGGCCGGGGCGGGGGACCTCAGGCTGTGCCCCCTGCCCAGCAGAGCTTTATGGGGAACCTGAGACTGAGCCCCCCACCTGGCGCTGGGTCGGGGGACCTGAGGCTGCACCCCCTGCCCGGAGGGGCTTGACGGGGGTGGGGCAGGCCAGGTCTGGGTCTCACCCAATGGGGGTGAGGCCGGCCGGGTCTGGGTCTCCTGTGATTTCGAAGTGCGTGCAGGTGGACGGGGACTTAACTCTGGGTCCTGTGGCGCGCCCCAGACTCTGACAGGAGGGAGATTTCATATACATTTTACTAATTTTCTTTCATCTCTGACACTTCTATTATAGAGAAAGGGCAAATAGCAATATTAAAATATTTCCTCTAATTCCCTTTTTATGTACACAAATTTCGTGCACCAGGCCACTAATCTAATCTAATAAAAGAGAAACATGCAAATTGACCATACCTTCGCTACACCCCAAACCACGCCCACCAGCCAATCAGAGCGACTATATGCAAATTAACCCAACCAAGATGGCAGCTGGCAGCCACGGAGCTGGAGCAGGCAAGAGGTTTGGCTGCCCCGGCGATGGAAGGAAGCCAAGCTTCCCCGCCTGCCCTGGCCGGCTGTGGCCTCCCACAAAAGGCAACAAAGTTTCAATTAATAGAAGATAAATAAACCCCAGATACCTGCTTCCAGCCAGCCTTCCACTGGAAGCTTGGGGTGGCTGGGGGCTGTGGGCCAGCCTGCAAACAGGCCATCAACCCCTTCACCCAGGCTGGCCAGGCACCCCCAGGGGGGACCCCACCCTGAAAGGGGCTGTGGCCAGCCTGCAAACAGCCATCAGCCCCTCACCCAGGCTGGCCACACCCTCAAGGGGTGAGGGTGCCTGCTGGGGGGCTTGACCAGCCTGCTAACAGCCCTCAGCCCCACACCCAGGCTAGCCAGGCACCCCAGCGGGACCTCCACCCTGATCTGGGACACCCTTCAGGGCAAACCAGCCAGCCCCCACCCATGCACCAGGCATATAATAAAAGGGTAATATGCAAATTGACCCTAACAGCAGAACGACTGGGAATCACTGGTCACTATGACACACACTGACCACCAGGGGGCAGACGCTCAATGCAAGAGCTGCCCCCTGGTGGTCAGTATGCTCCCACAGGGGGAGCTCTGCTCAGCCACAAGCCAGGCTGACGACTGCCAGCACAGCAGTGATGGCGGGAGCCTCTCCCGCCTCCTCAGCAGCGCTAAGGATGTCCAACTGCAGCTTAGGCCTGCTCCCCGCTGGCAAGTGGACATCCCCCGAGGGCTCCTGGGCTGCCAGAGGGATGTCTGACTGCCAGCTTAGGCCTGATCCCCTGGGGAGCGGGCCTAAGCCAGCAGGTGGATATCCCCTGAGGGGTCCCAGACTGCGAGAGGGCATAGGCCGAGCTGAGGGACCCCCCTGAGTGCACAAATTTTTGTGCACCGGGCCTCTAGTATAATAAATAATTTAGTTGGCCTTTTACCCCAGTTCCTGGGAGGAAGACTCTAAATCCTTGGAATTTCCCAACTGACAGAATTGTCTTTGTTCATGTTGAACCCTGAAATTTTATGCTAATGAGGTGGCTCATGGAGGGCCCCTATATTGTTTATGCTAATGAGATGACTCAGGATGGGGGCTGGGCTTGCTATAAAAACCAACCATGTGATTAGAGGGTTTAGAGGGTTGGGACACTGGAGAGAGGAAGGTGGGACTGGAGATTGAGACATATGGACAATGATTCAATCAATCATGACCATGTAATGAAACCCCAATAAAAACTGGACACTGAATCTGGGTGAGCTTCCCTATTGGAAACACTCTATGCATTGTCACACATCAACATGTTGCGAGGGTAAAGCATCCTAATTCCACAGGGAGAGAACACAGAAGCTTTACTTTCAGCAGAATCCCAGATCTCACCCTCTGTATTTCTTCCCTTGGCTAACTCTGAATTACTTCCTTTTGCTATAATAAAACTGTAATCTTAAGTAAAATGCTTTCCTAAGTTCTGTGAGTCTTTCTAGAGAATTACTGAACCTGAAGGGGTAGTGAGAAGCCCCAAATTTATAGCCAGCTGGTCAGAAGTGAGGGTGACCTGAGGACCCCCAAGTTTGCAGCAGCATCTTAAGTAGGGAAGTCTTATGGAAAACTGCCCTTAACTTGTAAAGTTTGGACCAATTTGGGTAGTGGGTGTCAGAAGTAACTGCATACTCCTTCGAGTCAAGCCTGAAATTGGCACGTCATAAAACTTGTCCCTCTCTCTGTTCCTATAAACTATCAGCCATAATGTTATCACATACCTCTTAAACACCTCTCATAAACCCACCCATTTGTTCATTTAGCCAAATAATAGATGCCTTAATGCAGGTCCTCATCATTTGGCTAGACTACTGCAATAGCCTCCTGACCAGACTCCTCATCTGTATGCAATCTATGCCACCTCCAATCTATCTTCCATACTGCTGCCAAGGTGATCTTTCACATTTGCAAATCGCCCTCCTGCTGAAAACTTACAGGTCTCCTCATAAAGGTAGGTTACAGCTACTTTAAAACTCCTTTAAATACCTATTTTAAAACCTTATTCTCTCTTTTAAATATTGTTTTAGAAGTTATAATAAAGGGAAAATGTGTGGTAATATGTTCCCCAAATTAGGTAAATCTGTAACAGTCTATTGAAGTCTTTAAGTTGTGAGAAGCAATGGAAATGCCATGGTGCTCCAGCTACTTGTGTAAACAAACAGGAGCAAAGACTGAGAAAAGAAACAGACCTCAGCTAATTCAGGAGGGAAAAGAAAGACTACTCTTTTACTGCACTCTACCTGTAAGAATAAAGAAAGGCTCTGCCTATGTTAAGACCTACCGTTTCAGACAGCAGCTGTTGGAAGGGTTTTTCAATATGTTAACAGGAAAACACTAGACTTAGGAGGAACTAGTTCTAGGCAGGCTGTACATTCTAAAGCAGAGGGCAAGCTGAAAGGAAACACACAACCCTGGCTGGTTTGACTCAGTGGTTAGAGGGATGGCCTGTGGACCAAAGGGTCATGGGTTTGATTCTGGGTCAAGAGCACATACATTGGTTGCAGGATCAATCCCTGGCCCTGGTTGGGGCACATCCGGGAGGCAACCAATCAATGTATCTCTCTCACATCGCTGTTTCTCTGTTTCTCTCTCTCTCTCTCTCTCTCTCTCTCTCTCTCTCTCCCCCTTCCTCCCTCCCCTCCCCTCTCTCTAAAAAGTCAGTGGAAAAAAATCCCTGGGTGAGTATTAAAAATAATAATAATAATAAAAGAAACACACATTCTGATTATGTCTGAGATGAAGTGATCAAAATAATTAGTGAGAAATATGTCAACTTTTAGAAAGGTATTTATACAATCAAACTTTTATTATAAAAGACTATTATGATTACTGTTTACTTTGTTTGTTAACTTATTTACAGAAATAGACATCTAGAAAATTCTTAAAACTAATCTCTAGCTGAGCAACCCTGAGTAAAGTGACATAATTAAAGACTATAGTTTCCATACTCCAAGCCCTTCTCCTGTCATGCAGAGATTGCAGAACTCAACTACAAATTCAAATCCAGGAATTTGGGAAAAATACAAACTTCCCCCAACCTTTACAAACTGAGTTAATAAACACATATAGAAACTACAATGCTGTCTTTCATTATCATGCAAGCAGCATTTTCATACCTGTTATTTTAATAAATTCTCACCTTCCAGGGCCTTCTAATCCCTTTGAAGAAGTCAGGCATCCACATGGGAAGAACAACAGCTTCCCTTAGCAACTTCTTAGCTTCTTCCAGATCTGCTATGTCATCCCTTTGTAAGAACATCAAAGTTTCATGTTTATTCAAAGATGGCTTTGATTGATGATCAATACTAATTCTTTTTTTTTACTTATGAAATTACTAGAGGCCGGGTGCATCAATTTGTGCACGGGTGCAGTTCCTCAGCCTGGCTGGTGATCGGGGCCGATAGGGGCCGCAGGAGGTTGGCTGGGGGGAGGGGCTGTGGGAGGTTGGGCAGCCGGCCGGCCGGGAGGAGCTGCGGGAAATTGGCTGGCAGGCTCAATGGGGGCCATCGGGGCGGGCCAGCCAGGGGGAGGGGCCACGGGAGGTTGGCCGGCTGGCCATGGAAGGTTGGCTGTGGGAGCACACTGACCACCAGGAGGCAGCTCCTGCATTGAGTGTCTGTCCCCTAGTGGTCAGTCGACCGGTTGTACAGTCGTTTGGTCGCTTAGTCTTTTATATACACTGAGTGGCCAGATTATTATGACCACCTGACATTTGTAGGCAAATTAGCTATAATTTTGCGCTGAAGTTGCTAGAGGGCCATACCATTATAAATAGGGAAGCAGGTTGTTTACCACGAAAGAAGTGATTTTTTTTCTGAAGATATGGGTAAACAACGAGATTTAACAGCCTTTGAACGTAGGATATATTTGAACGTGAGTGGCCAGATTATTATGACCACCCCATCAGTACTTCATTGGGCCACCTTTTGCCTTCAATACTGCGGATTCTTCTTGGCATTGACTCCACGAGATGTTGAAAAGTGATGTGAGGAATCTGACACCATGCCTGATGAATAGCACTGTCCAGTTCTGTGAGATTTGATGGTTGTGGAACCAGCTGCCTGATAGCTCTTTTAACTTCACCCCACAAATGCTCAATTGGATTGAGATCTGGTGCTTGTGGGGGCCACCTAAGCAGGGTAAAGTCTCCCTCATGTTCTTGAAACCACTCCTGCACAATATGAGCACCATGGCATGGCGCACTGTCTTGTTGGAAGAAGCCATCTCCATTGGGATACACCATCAACATGATAGGATGAACTTGATCAGCAACGATACTTAGGTATGTTGTGCTATTCAGACGTTGTTCCACACGAATTAAAGGGCCCAAATCATGCCAGGAAAACATGCCCCGAACCATAACACTGTCCCCACCAGCTTGAAGGATTGTACTCATGCATGTGGGGTGCATGCTTTCATGCTGTTTCCACCAAATTCTCACTCTGCCATCTGCATGATGCAACTGGAAACGTGATTCATTGAACCACATGACTTTTTCCAATGCTCGACTGTCCAATCCTTGTGTTCCTGCGCGAATTGGAGACGTTTTATCTTGGTAACTGCAGACAGCAAAGGTGTTCGAACGGGCCTTCGGCTTCCATATCCCATTAAGATGCAGTGTACGGCTAATGTGCCTACAAACGTCAGGTGGTCATAATAATCTGGCCACTCAGTGTATATAGATTCTTAAGAACATTATTCTAATTGCATAAAATTTAATCAGTGATCAGATAACATTCCAGTTATTAATTAGAACATGTTATTCAATTAACAATCTCTGTCAGTTATGTCATTAAATTAAAATGTTAAAGTGTCTTGGTTATATTTTGAAACAAGGACTGTCCTGTCAATTCCATACAGTCATATTATGGATGAAGTCATAAACAGAAGATTAAAAGTTAAAAGAGAAGACTCACACCAAGCCAACCCTATAACTTGTCTTCTCTGCTACTTTAATTCAAGAACTGAAGACACTAACCAATGAATGCTAAGATTCCTGGACACAATATCTCTCTCAAGGGCTTCTACCAGATCCTTATCATATCCAGCAGCATCAAATTTTGGAATTTCACCATCACTCACACCATCTTGCATATTTTTTCTTCCCTGGAGACAGGTATAAAAAAAGTACTGGTCAATAACAAAATAATTTTAACTGGCATTATTAAGCTATAAAAAGTGTAACAATCATTTAAAAATAATTTTTGGTTATTTTAAGATAGTGTTTTCTTATTACCCAAATGCCATCCTCTTCTTTTTAATTCATCAGAAACAGATGAACTGGCCTGCTTTACTATACATTTCTTCAAATTTACATTCTTGCGGGGAGAGCTGCAGGTAAGTAAGACTAAAATGATCCTTGCAAAATACCCCTGACTTAGTGGCTGCCGGGGATTTCCAATATTTATTGAGAATGCTAATGCAGAGGAAGGAAGTTTACTGAAAACCTACTGTATAGCAAGTAATCTCATATATATTACCTCATTTAATACAACTATAAGGTAGGTATTACTACCTTTATTTTTACAGATTATCTTGGACTCAAAAAGATTAAGTAACTTAATCAAGTTCACAATTCTTAAATGTCAGAGTAGAGATTTTAGCTCAGGTCTTCCTGACTCCTCAAACCCATGCCTTATCCACAGCATCAGACCACTTCATGCCTGGCTGAGCCAGCTTAAAGCTTAAGCGAGGGCTGTGTATGGCCAAAAGAACTGGGTCTGAATTTCACCTCACAAAGCCTTTTTTTCCCTGTTGCTGTAAGTACTCCCTCAGGATTCAATTTCTTCCTAGTAAAGTCCTTGGGCCACATCATAAAGTCACTGTAATGACAATGATAAAAGAACCTTTTTAAATTAGTATTAAGACCATTAAAGCAATATACCTACCCAAATTCTTTATCTAATAATATGGTGGCTTTAAAAAAGTATTATATACTATAGTTTCTATGGGTTCTGCCAAGATTGACTGAACTGTGAAGAACTTTAAATGAAACATGCTCAGCCCTGGCTGGTGTGGCTCCATTGGTTGGGCATCGTTCTTTGCATCAAAAGGTTGCCGGTCCAATTCCTGGCCAGGGCACATGCCAGGGTTTTGGCTTGATCCCCATGTAAGGGTATGCAGGAGGCTCTCACATTGATATTTCTCTCTCTCTCTCTCTCCCTCTCCATTCCTCTCTCTCTAAAAAGCAATAACAATAATTTTTTTAAAGAAACTTTGCCAGAGACAGTTCAGCCACTGGAACTGCTTCAGTATACAGAGCCAAGTACCTCCACAGAGCTTCAGCCTCATTGTTACTGTCTAATACAAAAATAAAAGGGAAAATGGTAAAAAATAAAATGAGCCCATTTTATAAACTCAATATGAAGAGAGAATAGGATGAACCTCTTCTACCATAGATACTTCATCAGAGATAAACCATAGTTGAGAGGGGACTAAATGGTTCCCTTTGGTAAATGTTCTAATTCGTTATGCCATCTGGTAAATCACCAAACAGTACTATAGTGACTTGACCAAAAAAATGAATAATTTACTGTTTCTGGGTAGAATCATGGCTACAGTATTAAACTAAATTTTCAGAAAGATTCTTCTATTTCAGCTGACAGACACCAATATTGACATTATTTAAAGGAGTAACTTTCTGGCTTACCTATACAACAAATAAAACATCAACAAATTCAAAATAATCTCAGCCTAGTATCATATTTTATGATACACATAGGCCAAGGCTATAAGGTGATATTCAAACTAATCAGTGGGAACACTCTGTAATCACTTTAAAGCTTTCTAGAAATAAATAACCTAAAGAATGTAACAGAAACTAATATACCTGGGACTTAACCAGCCTTCATATGGCACTATTATTTGAGACTAACCAAAAGTAAGTATTTAAAAAATGTTAGCACACAGTCATTTTGATATAAATAATCAAGTGGGGTAGGGAGGACTTGTAAACACTGCCACAGGAAAAGAACAGCTGGACACTTGCCTGAAAGTAAGAAGAATCATTGGATTTTAAGAACAATAAATATGTGAGCATCTATGCCCAGCACGTTTTATTGATCACTAAGTTTTAAATCAGTGAATGAAAACACCTTATCTGCTCTCATCAAGCATCTATCTAATGGGAGAAACAAGTAATAAGTAAACAAAAGCAAATCACATAGAATTATAAGCTGAAGTGCTATTAAACGCTGAGTGATCAGTGTGGCTAAAAGGAATAGGTTGGAAAGACAGGCAGAGACAGCTCACTTAGGCCCCCATAGGCCCAGGGAAGGGGTGTGGATTTACTCTGAGTGCATGGGGAAATTTTTGAAACATGATGAGCAAGGGAATGACAGGATCTGCTTTACATTTTTTGTTTGTTTGTTTGTTTGTTTGTTTTGCTTTACATTTTCACATGACCCTCTGGCTGCTATGTAGAAAGATGGGTGGGAGGAAAAGTAGAAGTGAATAAATAAAAGCCTGTTGCTGTACTCAAGGCCGGCCACTCCATCCACAGAAGAGGAAATGAAGGAATAAGCCAGTCTACAGACTGGCCCTAGAATCCGAAGTTCCTCAGAGATAGAGATGAGACATGAATACAAATTAAGTCCAAAGAAGATTCAAAGGACTTTTTCAAACCAAAATGGTGAGGTTATTTAAATAAACAAATTTAGGAAAACTGAAAATAAATAATTAATTTGCTTACATTGGGAAATCAACACAATGGGTGACAGTTATCCGTCATAACAAATGGATAAATTGGAACAGGCATTTCAAATATAAGTAACCAAGATTGCAGTTAACCAGCTAGAGTAACCACAATACATAAACGAAACACTTTTCAGGCAATAAAGCTAACCTCACTCAAGATATTACCTGTACAGTTTATACTAACAATACTAATTGCAATGTCACTGAAATGATCTTAGAATTATTTGTTTAGGTTTTCACATTAATTGAAAATAAAGTCTACATTGGCAAGAATTTGATATTTAGCATGAAGACTAGTGTACTTTCTTCTCATTAAAGCAAAATATTTTATTTATTTTATTTATTTACTTTTATTGATTTCAGAGAGGAAGAAAGAGAAACATCAATGATGAGAGAGAATCATTGATTGGCTGCCTCCTGCACTCCCCACACTGGGGATCGAGCTCACAAACCAGGCATGTGCCCTGACCAGGAATCAAACAGTGACACAACCACTAAGCAAAATACTTTAGATTCTTTTTAGTAATTTTATCTAAGTTACTTGTGTCAAGAAAGATTTGTTAAGGATCATCCATTAGTATTTTAATCATTCCGTTTGAGAAAAATGACACTAAAGTTAACAAGAAACACAATATATTATAGAGTCAATGACACAGCTGGCCTAAAATGTGAGTAGTTTTTGCATTTTATTGTGTGCCTTTTATTGTGTGCTTTCATTGGCAGATGAAGTGCAATGTGCCAGTTACTAGCTCAAATCTTGCACTTTAAGAGAAATATTGACAAGCAAATTATACCCAGAGAAGGATGGAGAATGATAAAAGGTTCAAAGCCATGTCATATGCAGAAGGACCAAAGATACCAGAAACATTTAAGCTGAAGAAGAAAATGCTAATGAAGCAAAACAACCAACTAACCTATTTTCCTCTACTTATGCTATACTAGAGGCCTGGTGCATGAATTCGTGCATGGGTGGGGTCCGGCCGACCCTGCCGCTGATAGGGGTGGGGGTGCCAATAGGGGCCTGGCCGGCCAGGGGGGGAGGGGCCGCAGGAGGTTGGCCGGCCCTGCCTCCGATCAGAGGGGGCAGAGGGGGCCAATTGGGGCCACATTGCGTGTCAAAGCAACCAGTCGTTCCGGTCATTCCAGTGTTCTGGTCGCTTGGCTTTTATATACAGTGGGGCCTTGACTTACGAGTGTCCCGACTAACGAGTTTTTCGAGATACGAGCCATCTCTCAGCCGATTTTTTGCTTTGAGTTGCGAGCTAAAATTCGGGTTATGAGCCAGCTTCAGATACCCCACCGCTAGTTGGTGCAGCGAACGTCACAGTGAACGCCACAACATCAGCCAAGCATCACGTGTCTCACTCGTTCACTTTAAGCGGTTAGCTCTTAGTTGAAGCATCAGTGTTGTGCTCGCATTTGGGCTTGCAGTTATTTTGCAAAACTTCGTTTTTTCAACTATGGATCTGAAGAAAGTAAGTGCAAAGGACAGTGCTAAGAAGAAGAAGCGGATGATGTGCATTGAATTAAAGAAAGAAATTATCGAAAAACATGACCAAGGTGTGCATGTAATCGACTTGGCGAAGCAGTACGAGCATAGCACTTCTACGATCTGCACCATACTGAAGCAGAAGGAGTCGATACAGGCTACAACTCCAGCCAAGGGCGTTAAAATAATTTCTAAACAGCGGACATCTATCCATGAAAATATGGAGAAGCTGCTAATGGTGTGGTTAACGGAGAAGCAGCTCGCAGGAGATACCATGAGGAAGGCTATAATCTGCGAGAAGGCCCGAGCTATTTACGCTGATTTGCTGCAGCAGACCCCAGGCACTTCAATGGACGAGGCATCGGGCGAGCCGTTTAAAGCCAGTCGGGGCTGGTTCGAAATTTTTAAAAAGAGGACTGGCATTCACTCCGTTGTCAGACATGGTGAGGCAGCGAGCGCGGATATAAAGGAAGGTGACATCAACGAGCTCATCGAGGAGCACTCTGAGGAACTGACAACGCAGGAGCTAAAGGAGCTACAGACGCAGCAGCACACGGAGGTTTTGCAGGAAATAGATGACACGGAGGAGGAGGAGGAGGTTATCTCTATAAGTGAGATAAAGGAAATGTTGGGAATGTGGGAGACACTTTCAGACTTTATTCAAAAGAAACACCCAGAAAAAATTGCAACTGGGCGTGCAATGGAGCTATTTAATGACACTTGCCTAACTCATTTCAGAAATATTCTGAAAGGGAGGATGAAACAGATCTCATTGGACAGGTTTTTATCGAAAACTCCTGTTGATGAAAGTGTGGCGAAAAGGGAAAAAGTCAGCAAATAAGATTCAGTTATTCAGTTATTCAGTTCAGCCTTTCTCCTCCAACTCCATCAGCATCTCTAAGTCATTTGATCTCCAAGGTAA